TATTATTCAATAACCAATAACCAACATTTAAACTATACCTACTGCAAAAAAAGAGCTTTGATCGACACGTGCGCGTTGGACTTGTCCATATTTATTTATAATACAATATAATATATATATATAATATACGGGTTGCCCCAATTCAAATATGAAAACCGTAAGACAGACAGTAAATATTTAACAAAATAGTAAAAATTCCATTGAAAAATAATAATAATAGGTTAAGCATTATAAATTATAATTAATAGTATTATACGAATAAATTTATTAGTTAGTTTAGGTATTTATTTTTAAAATTTCGTTTAATTTCACACACATATCCAATTCAATTTTTTAATTTCAGCTTGTATAATTTTAAATTTACCATAATAATTATACTTAACTATATTGTACAGTAATTAATAATAAAACCATAATTGAATAACGATGTACCTGTATTACTGAAAAATATAGAAAAAATAAACAAGCTTATCATTTGCATACTTAAATATTATACTATATAATTATACAATAACCGACATTTAAACTAGGTATACAAAAATAGAGCCTTGGTCGACACGTGCGCGTGTGACGTGTCACTATAATAATATTACTATAAGTATACGAATATACATTTGTTAGGTATAGTCAGGCAGGGCTTAAAGTGGAAAAAAATCCCAGGGGGGGACTAACGTCTCCATATAGTTTTAAGCGTTCCATATATCGTTTTATGTATAATGTCTAATGCATAATATACATATAGTCATAGTGGGTACATGTAATTTATAAACAATGATTGTGTAACATATACTCATCCCACATTGAATCATGAATAATGGTCAAATTTTTAATTTATTTTATGAATAATACTACATTTCGCGGTCAACCAATCACACCTTCCAACCTTGTAGTGTCCAGTCCTGTATATCATAGTCCGTGGTAATCACGGTTTTAATCTCAACGGAATTCTGAATTATATTGAATATTGATATAATTGGTTATAATTGGAGCGTTACGACGTACTTTAAGAATGATTTTTTAAAGGGGACGCTTTTTAACCACCATTAGAGGTAGGGGGACTGAGTCCCCTTGCGTCCCCCCCACTTTAACCCCTGTAGTCAGGTAAGTTTTACCTACAATTTAATTTTTCACCTTAGAAAATATATTATGTAGGTATATGAACCTACATAGAAATGTATAAAACCGTAATGTTAAGTAAGTAAATTATTTTTGTAATAAATTTAAATATTTTTTTTTTTCAATCGTTTAATTTTACATAATATCTAATTTGGTTTTTAATTGCTTGTATAGTTTTAAATTTACCATAATTATATACTTCACTATCATACAACAATAATAATTAATCGCATAAAATCGTAATTAATTAATTAATAATTATGTACCTAATATTAACTGAGTAATAATGAAAAAACAAACAAGCTTACCATTTTTACTCATACCTATCATTATATATTATAATATATATTAAACTTAAAATACTCAAAATTAAAACTGTACACAAGTTGTTTAACTTTGATCGACACGTGTGCGTTCGACGTGTCACTAATAATATCGTTATCAGTATACAGATTTACATTATTGCTATAGATAATCGGGTAGCTGTTATACCTCATACCAGTTATATAATATACCTATATACAATTTATACAATATATACTTGTCGTCTTTTTGCACATAATATTAGGTACGTATTGTAATATCGTGCACATATTTCTTACCACCTATATAGGTACACGTGGCGGTCAGCAATTGCGTTACTTTCATCTCGCGAATTTATAATAATAATAATACATAAAAGCGACGTCGACGTGTCTCGAACGCGATATGTATGTTACGTCAGTATTATTAGTTGTAGGTAGGTAGTAGGTACACCGCTAAACGTTGAAATGTCAATGCCAATACAGGTTACCTACTCAATATAATAATAATATTATCGGTCAAATAGTAAATAAGTGTGCGTTTGTTTTTCTAGAGTTATATATTATATTATTAGATAATAGATATATTATTGTACGCGTCTCGTATAATTTTTTAATTGTAACATGATTTTAATTTATTAACTTCACGCACGTATTGTTCCATCCGCATATAGGTACCTGCACCTAACCTATTTATATGTGGTATAACTCACATTTTAAAATAATTTTTTTATTTTTATTTATAAGTAGCTATACCACTTACACGGGATTTTAAATTGCAGTAGAACTGCCGAAAATGTTTCTGCATTATTATCGTAACCAATTATTTATATTTTTATCAGTTATAATATTCAATTATCTTTTTTTTATTCGGCCTGCAGCCAGTATAGTATATATAGCGTTGACAAAGGCCTAATAATTGTAATAGGATGCTTTAAAAAAAGTGATTTATTCGTGTCACGTAGTTTATTTGTTTGTTATAATCTGTGTCCTTGCATTTTATAGTCTCACAGAGATAACGTATATACATATTATATTATAATATAATGGAAAAATATTAATCGTATTCGAATTTCCACAACAAATAATAATTCCCTGCTGCAGGTTTGAGTATATAATATTATACACCACTTAATGATGCTGCTTATCAAATGCGATAAACATGGTATATATAAACATAATAATATTATATTCATCACCGAGCGACAATATTTTATATTTACTCTCGGTGGCATGAGATAACGCGTTATCGACAAATTTATATATGCTATATATTTTGTGACTGGGATATTTTTGTTGTCTTAAAAATGGGCATTTATAATACGTGCTATATAATAATATATTAAGCATTTATATTGTATATATAATTATATGCGCGTCGACAAAAAAACCTGAAAAAGAGTTTGCAGCTCGCGTTTATAGATTATTCGGAGGTAAACATTAGAAAACGTTATCTCTTCAGTTTTCACTTTAAATAGCTAGATAATAATATAATATTATATTGTAACGTCGTGAGCAAAACAAAATGATAAATGCTTTTAATGCTTTTAATGCTGTCCATTTTTCATATTATTACTATTCTATACAGTAGGAAGGTATGCGATAAAATGGAGTTTGTTTGTATTACAAATAAAAAAAAGTCACAGATATATCTATATAGGCACAGTTTAAGTACTTTTATATTATATAGATCTCTATTGGTAAAGTGTTATATTCTATTAAAGAAATCGATTACAGGATTTATTTTTGTATACTTTTTTGATGTATACTGTAAGTAGGTACCAATAATGTGTAGGTTTATGGGTATACACTTACCTAAATGTTTTTTTTTCAGATTAAATGAGACGCATTAAAAATAACTAATTTTAGTACATTATATGTATTATATTGTACCTATATACATTGCTACCTACACTTGGTGATGGATTTAAAATACATTAAAAAACCATTATAATAAACTATCCGCATTGAATTTCAAAAACAATAGAATCGTGTACTTTTTAAAACTTTATATATAGGTATATAATATAGGTTTACCCAAATATTATATAGGTAATATATAAGAATGGTCGAAAACACAACGGTATATAATTGGGTAAAATTTAAAATGCGATTCGTAAAAATGTGATACGCCATGTCGCATGCAGTATTATATTATACCTTCGTGGCATGCCGCCATGGGCTATGATGCCTTCATCATATACATACTAAAACGAAACAGATAAAGAAAAACGAGACTTGATGTGTATTATTATTATTTATTATTAATATTTATTTGGTCATGTACTTATACAGTAGTCAGGCGTATTTCAAATTTAGAAACACGTTCATAAATATTTTTACATAATAATATATAACACGAGTGTTATAGCTATATAGATACATAACTATATAGGTATAGGTATAATAGACCTGTTAGTAAATGTTAAAATTTAATTATATATTTGAATTATTCTGACTTAGCGGTGTTGTAAAGATTAGATATATGTACCTACGTATCGTATAATACATATATTTTAATACTATAACATAATAATATTATATTATTATGTATCATAATAATAATAATAATAATATTGTTTATTACGGAAAAAAATTTAATTACATTTTAAATATAAGATAATTATTAATTACTAGAGTACAATATCTGTGTTTTGTTGGAAGTTTTTTTACGATAATTCAGTTTTGAAGTGAGTTATACGTGTATAATAAATGTAAATTAAAAATGTTCATAACTCATTTAAAAACTGAACTATCATAAATAAACTACAAAACACAGATGATATTCTTACCATCAAGTTTCATAATAGTTCGATTCTCTCTAATTTTAAGCTGACGGCATAAAACGCGAATTTCTGAGCGTAAATTTGGTATGTTAAGCGTTTGCAAGACGGAGGCAACACATGTGGGTGTGGCGTCCTCTTAAATATTATTTGGTTTAGTTAGATATAATAACATAAATAAATATGATAACTGTACATATTTAATTTTCTTTTTGTGCATTCAATCCATCAGTTAAATTTAGCAATTTATGTATTAGCTTATATTGTCATAATTTTGTATATTAAAATAAAATTACGTACATGTGAAAAAACGTAGGTAGGTATACATTTTTGATAAAAAAAAAAAAAATGTAATTTGGTCAAGTGGTATACATGATATTTTCTAACAGTGTAGCTGGAGCCTGGAACTCAGATATAAAAAGGATGAGAACCGCTGCCCTATGTAACGTACGCCTTTATAGTTACCTATCTAAACCGAATATACTTGTAATAAATTATAAAATATGATGTGAAATAACCAAAACCAATTTAAGTACTGAGTATACCGCATTACCGTCGGCTGGAAAGATACAAATAATATGACGACATAGGTTACGTTTAAATTGAGTGAAACCGATTGTTGGCAATTCGCGCGTTTTCTCTTATATCATGATACTTACCTATTATTCAAACTGGCGAGTTTAGAATGATATGATAATTATAATATTAAAAAAAAATAGATGACGATGGATGCATCATAATATTAATAATAATAATATAATATTGTACGTTGTTATAATATTATTTCACGAGAAGGAAAATGACGTCGCCGCCGCCGCCACAGGTACGACGATCGTTGTGTGGGTCGGTGGGGTGGTGGGGTGCAGGGTCTTTCGGGGCGGGGGCGGCCCTCGCACCACCGCCGCCGCCCAGCCAGACGGCGATTGGCCCGAAAAAAGCGCGGGATCTTGGTCCCGCCGAAAAACGCGCGCCGTCGCCGTACGGGTCGTCGCACGCACGGCTTGACGGCGGCGGCGGCGGCGACCGATCAGTATCGCTACCTACACCGCCGCCGCCGCATGTGCAGCGCCAGCGAGCACGACAGATAATTATTACTATTATCGCCGCCGCCGCCGCCGTAGTCCGGACAATCGCCGCAGCACGCGCGCGCCTACTTGCCGGCCGGTACCCGTCGTGCCCCGTCGTGCCCCGTCGACAGCCGACGCCCGACGCGCGCACGCGCATACACCGCCGCCGCCGAGACACGGACCCGAGCGAAAGGGTCTGTCCGACCGGCGAGCGCTCTTCAGTCGTTGGACTACGCTCTACTCTTCCGGGTGTCGAGTGAATCGGAACCGCTCTCCGAGCACTCTTCTTCGCGTGCATCGCCGCCGCCGCCACCGCCGCCGAAGATTACAATAATTTTTCCGCCGCGGACTTAACTGATTTTTTTGACTTTTACGTTCACATGACTATTTTTCGCGCAGTGCGTTTCCCGCGATTTATATTGATTATACTTAAATTATTTTGCGTTCGTGTTTTGATTTTGTGAAAAACTTTTCCGAAACGATAAAATTTTTTTTTTTAAAATCAAAGTCGTAAGATTTGCGATTTGTCGCCAGAAAAAAAGAAAAAACCGAACAACTCAACCATGGCTGTTCCGTTCAGTTATGAGCCCGATCCTGCAGAATTAATGAGGATTCATTATATGCGAATCCAAAATCTACTCGTACAACTGATGAGTCTGCTCAGGCAAACTCCCTCTATAATGACCGGTGAGTGTTTATATTATAATATTTATCATACAGTCCCAGTAGTGTCCCTTACCCCAGGTATAGTTGTAAATTTTTATATGTCTCAAAGTATAAATTATAATAGTTGTGCAAGTTTTTGGGAAAAAAAAAATAAATTGCCGCGAAAAATAATATAAAAAAAAAATATTGTATTCGACATTTTTTTTCTTATAAATAATTGCTCTAAACTCGTAAAAAAAAATTTGCCGCAACGTGTTTCATGATGAAAAACTTTATTGCACAAAAAAATATCCACGTGTTAAAAAAATAAAAAGTAGTTACGCAAACCGTCGCGGCTGTCACGTGATTTTACGAAATGAGGAAAAATTATTTATTTGAGACTTGACAATAATAATATAATAATAGGATACCGGTACGTTGTACCGCGCTGTGTTCTGGTACAGTGGTACATAATTTTTATTCGAAAACGTGGTATAAAATTAAATAATAATATAAAATAAAATAAAAATATAGTAGGTATAATATTTCTAAATAACATGATAATATTAGGTGTGTAAATATTAAAATATTTTTATAATTATATTAATATTAACGGTATAAAACAATATTATATTGTACAACTCCTTAAAAAAAATTCATAATAATAAATTGAAAATGAAATAGAAATTAATAAATCATAATAATGAAAAAAAATATCAATTAATATTATTTTGTCGGTCGGTCAGACTTGTGCTTCGCCGTCGCATGTACCACGGTAACATATTATAAGGTCACCCACCCGACATCTCTGCCTACAACAGGTAGGCGAACGCGTCCGATACTCCGATAAACCACGATACAACCAACTTTACGGTATCCACTCGCTTATACCGGAATAATAATATCTCGTACGAATATAATAGAGTCTGCTATACGATAATAATAATATATAGATGCAGCGCGTGTGAACGACCCAATAATACCTGTATAATACGTATAACATAATAATATTATACAAGTCTCATATTATATTTTTTTTCGCGTTATATTAATATTTTTTTTCCACGCACGATCGTACCGGCTAGTACAATAATATAATATAATAATATTATTATAGTGACCAGTTTTTCGCGCGAAAAATACGCCGTCGAAAAACTCAGAGGCGAAAAAATATTTTGTTTTTCCGCCAACTCAATTTTATATTAGGTATTTTGAATAAATACTCGCGATACCGTAGCAGTCCATAATTGGTCGCTCATTTGTTTGAAAAAAAAAACTTATAATATTATTCTTTCCTATGATATGAGAAAATTACAATTTATTGATATCGATTATATTATAGGTATTATTTTACTGTCGGTTACATCCAAACGTTTTTCGCTAATCGGATAAAAAAATAAATTTGACAAACCGTTTGTATATTGGGTATTGATTATAGACCGTAAGAATTTATTTTTACGTCAAACTGTTAGCGCTCTAGTTTCGTGTGAATAGGTATAACATTATCCAATAATTAATAACAATTACAATATTGTTTGTACTGGTACACATATACATTATATTTTATTTGCTATACGATTGCGCGACACCTTAAAACCGAACCGTTGTTCTTTTGTCTGCGTGCGCGTGCCCGTACAATACATCTGCGCGCGTATTATCTAATTGATTTGAATTGGGAAATGTAAAAAAAAAAAATCAAAAAACCTCTTTCGATATTCAACTAGGTACCTACGGTACACGCGACTATATGTTATTATGGGTTGATTTATTACGTAGGTTCGATCGTTGTGATTTTTTTTTTCCTAAGAGGTAAAAATAGTAAAATATTATACGAGATAGATACCTATATACCGTGTATGGCGTCTATTATATTCTTTGCGAAATTCGGAGGCCCCTATTGTTTGCTAGCTCGACAAAAGACACGATAATTTGCCAACAAGTGCTTCCAAGGCCGAAACCGCGCCGCTCGCCCACGCGCCGCTTATCACGCTCGGTCCTTTATATTGTTTTTTTTTCCCCAAAGTCTTACGATTTATTATTGTTATTGCCGCCACCGTTGTCGCCGTGGCACTTTTACCTATTCAACATAAGATATATAAATTAAATTATTGGCTGGCGATCGCGCGGACACGAGTTCACTAAATTTTGATTAAGTTGTACAAAATATTATAATAATATTGTACTTGTTAGTTTTATGATAATATTATCGAATAGGCGGGGAAATTATATTTTATTGATGTGCAAACGACGTGAAATTTTACTTTTAAAAATTGTGTAACGAATGATAATTTGAATTTATTCGACTATCGTATCAAAATATATAATATTATTATTATGACCTACACGCGCGTAATGTCCTAAATATTTTTTTTGATATTATATGTCGATGTAATTTCTTCAATTTTAATACATGTCATTAATATAAATTTTTTTTTGTGTCTCCCGCAGGTGATCCTCTCTTCCGAGTCATCATTGCAGGAGAGCGCACTCCACCGGCTTTGTTGGAAGAGAGCCGCCGTATTTGGCTACGGAATCGGCACATTGCGGAAGTCCGCCGTCGTGAGCGCCTGCAACAGGAAATGTCGGAGCGCCGCCGTCGTGAGCGCGAGCAACAGCAACAGCAACCGTTGTTGCCCGACTTGGTCACGTCGTGCTCGCAGTCGGCTGGTCCATCGCAGTCTGCTGGCCCATCGCAGTCGGCTGGCCCATCGCAGTCTGCTGGCACATCGCAGTCTGCTGGCCCATCGCAGTCTGCTGGCCCATCGCAGTCTGCTGATCCATCGCCGTCTGCTGGTCCATCGCCGTCTGCTGATCCATCGCAGTCGGCTGATCCATCGCAGTCTACTGATCCACCGCAGTCGCCGCCTCAGCAGCAATTGCAGGCTCAGCAACAGACCGCGGCCGACGGCGAGGACAGGATTGCCGGGGCCGTCAAGCTGCAGGTGGCCGTGTGCCCGAGTTGCTATTACGGCAAAGAGCGCAAGCTGAAGGTGATCGCCGTCGCCAAGCTGGACGAGAACGGCAAGCCGATCCGCTGGACCAACCGCGACGTGAGTATACCATATCTACCGAAATATACCACGATATTATTTTAACCCACTGCGAAGTTGGCCGAATCAATTTTTTTTTCGTCGATATATTATAATAATAGATAGTACGATGAATTTATTTTACTCGCGGCCGTCGAAAATAATATTAATTTATAATATTATAATTTAACCTATCTGTTTATATTACATTATAATTTATTGATATTAAACCGTCGGAGGAGGCGTGAGAAAAAATAAATATCGCTTTATCTATAATACACTCGCGCACAAATTACCGACAACTATTGAAAAACAAAACATTTGCCGTCTCCATATTTTATTTATTTAAATCACGCATTAGATACATATTATAGGCTTATGTAGAGGAGTATATTTTGTTTTTCAATCACAACTATATTATCATACGACCGGTTAATCTATAACAGTTTGCGATTCTGTGTGTTTGCAGGACGAAGAACCGGTCGAGAATAAGAGTTCAGAAGTAAAACGGAGAATCATGTCGCTGCTTCAGAAATCCCGCATCGAATCGTCCATGCTCACAGCCGCGTTCGTAATCATCGGCTGGAAGATGTTCATCAAACAATAATGTAATTTTGTTTTAAGAATTAGAGAGAGAGAGAGAGATAGAGAAAAAAACAATTTTTTTCCACGCCTATATAAAAAGACTCCAAAACATGGTTCCAGTCACGGTTTTTAGTGACTAAAACAAATTTTAATTTTAATGCTAATCAAATCGACCGTTGATCTCAATTTACAAAAATGTGAGATGATCGAAACCGTAGCCAAATGTAGTATTAATTTATACTATATTATTATAATAATATAACCTATATATCTTTACTTTAGTTCATTATTATTATTATTATTATTATTATTATTTGATATTGTCATCGACTTGAACGCTCGTTTCGGTGTACTCTGCAGCGGCTGCTGCTTTCGGGCGCACGAGCTTCTTGTCGGTTATTATTATTATATTTATTTTTTTTTTTAACATCAACATTATCGTTTAAGTATAATCGTTTAAGTACCTATTTTTTTTTAATTTTGTAATTAATCTCTATTTCTATGCTTCATCTGTTGTATTTTTATGTCGTTTCACATGGAATTCTGCGGTTTCAGTCCCAGACCAGTTCACGTTTTGATCTCGTTTTTTTAAAACTATAGCTTCAGAACGGCACTACCGCCTCGGCGGTTTTGAATTAGTATGAAATGCTATATTGTAATAATTATTTAGTTTTGCTCACTGTAAATATAATCGTTTGAGTATATCTTTTTATTTATACACACACACTCGCGCCGCGTCATTATTATAACTAATTTGTTTTTTTGAATTCCGTCCGTTCACCACGGGCGCCGTAAATTCGGTTATCATCGCATCAAACAGCTAAAGAAAAAAAATTGAATTCTCTGTGGACGTTTTTTCTCTTGTTTCTATTCGTTCTACTAATATAACTATGGGTCATAATATGGGGTGGTATAGTATACCGGCTGGTATACTGTATTATATTTTGGCGAACGTCGAGATCCAGTTCTGACATAATAATAATATATTATGTATACATCAACAAAACCGACGACTATTATAATATTCAAATATAATTCATACTTTGTGCGTCGAGGAATCATAAAAAAAAATATCGATATTATGAACGCTTTGTAAATAAATTAATCTTAATATATATATTATAATACGCTTGTTGCGCACGCATCAAGTTATTATAACTACCTATATATAATATAATATTTATAGCATGTATTTATTTTTATTTTGGTTTTCTTATTTTTTACATTTTTTTATTATTTTGAAAAGCATTTCTGTGGTGTTAAATAAAACTTGGACGCCGTCGGGCCTTTCATATGCTTCGAGCTTAAACCATTCTTTGCGAATTTCCTCCCGGCGACGATCCTCGTTTCGCCCATCAAAGCTATTTCTGTGATCATGCCATTATTTTTTTTTTATCTATTGAATTATATATTTATCTAATAAATCTATGGCATTTCTTGTGTTATTTACGGTTCCTTATAACGAATCGTAATATACATATTATAAAGAACAATTTCTTTAAGTTGTATAAATTAGTGTATTGATAAGGTTTTTTTTTTAAAATTATTATTATTATTATTATTATTAGTAGGCTGATCTCTTTTTTGTAGTACTTAAGTAGATAGTGTTCTTAGCGATTAGTTTAATTTTAGTATTAATTATTAGATAATATTATTACACTTTAGATTTAATAATGTTGATGTTAAATATTGTTAAAATGGTCATCTCTCTCTTCGATTCACAAAATAAAAACAAAAATAATTATTATGATAATATGTACCTACTTGGCGCCCAAGAGTGTTTAAATCATAATGATTAAAAAAAAAAAAAAAATATATGTAAACTTAAAACCTTAGTATATAAGGTAAATTATTGGAAGACTATTGATGATAAGCGTTTTGTGATCCAAAATTTTTATTACTGTAGCAATTAGATTTTTTAAATATTTATTTTATCATAATTATTATAACATAATAATATTATATTATATGTAAATACACAAACATTTTTATTCGAACACTTGGAGATATTTATTTTAAATTTAAATTTAAAAAAAACAAAAGGTCGTTGAACAATCGTTGCAAAATTATATGTGTGTATGTCAATTCATTATACGTTATAATATATTATATTTTGTTTTCGTATTTACAATAATACAATAAAATACTTAATAATATTAAACTTAATTTAAAAAAAAAAAAAAAAAACATAAAAAAACAAAACAAAACAAAATAAGAACACTGCCCAAATAGATACTTATGATGCCATGTCTTCAGTATAATATTAATATTGTAAGTATATACGCAAACGCGTTTTACCTTTATGATGCCAATTCCATATTGTTATAATAATATTATATCTATTAATATACTTAATAATAATAATTGTACTATATATTATACTCCTCTCCCCGCGGTCTCTGATACCTATATTTTATACCCACCTTGTATTATTGTATATTATTAACACATTTTAATCCCTTAATGATGTATAATCTTAGAGCTATTTTTTTTTTAAATATTATATATTACTATCAATCATATTTTATATATAAATACATAATTTACTTCGCGGCGAATAAATGTGCGCCTCTCTGAACTCTGGAGCAATCGCACACCGCGTCTCGCTCCCGCTGTCTTTCATTTGTATCATATAGGTAATAATTCTATTATTATTATTATATGATAAATATCTTGTTCGTATAAGCAGAAATCGAATATTATTGTGTGTATATATAAAAATATGTAACTATCTCGTTGTCCGAACGGATCCTATATTATGATATTCATTGTATTATTATTATTATTATTATTATTGAACAAAAATAAACAAGATTCGTAAACTATAAAATATTATTATTATTGTCATTTCGCCGGAAACGGTTTGTCGTTTGGTTTTCACCTTCCCGGTGGTCTCGTTCCTCATAGTGTGTTAACACAGAATTGGTATATAATGGTAGGTACCTTATAATATATTATATAGGTATGCACCGAACAGTTTGTGATTTCTTCTCAGGTTTTGTTTGGAAAAAAACAGCGCCGAAGAAGGCACCGAAAAAATTCGACTTTGGTCGGACTGCGGTGAGCGTAAATTACTTGGTAAGTAAAACACTTGACTGAGTTGGAAAACATAAAAAAAATAATATGGTTATTATCCAGCAGCCGCAATCATGTGCAGTGATATATTATTAAACTTGGGTACCTGCAGCCACGAGAACAGGTCTATTACATAATTTTAAAATATTATTTTCTATACTCGTAGTGCACGCGATTACAGTTCACAATTTATCAATACTTTCGAAGAAACGCGTAAATCACAAGCCTACAATAATGTCTGTTGAAGACCGCAAAAAGTCGCGATGATTTGCCGTGTTTGAGAACGAGCCGCAACGACAGTGTCAAAAGGCGCCATCTATCGGTTTACGTTGTCGATTCTCGGTAGGAAGTGAATATGACGTCTTCTAGTAGGTACCCGCTGACGGAGTCTGAACACGAAAAATATTATGCGGTGAGAGTTGTCTGGACAAGTATATACGTCGTACGGATTATAATATAATTTCGGTTGTCTCTGACGAGTCGGTAGTGTAAGTACAGGAATACAATTTAAACGGCCATCGAGTAAGGAGCGAAGCTCTGGTCAGAATAAAAACCGATAAGAAATTAACATAAAATCGTGACGTTCCAATATATTTGTGCCAAGTGCTAATAGCACGGTTCGTATGTCACTTAGGTCAAACGTTATTATGGCCGGCAGGCTGCTGCAGTTCTAGCTGGTAAATAAATCAAAGCGTCGACGTTCATCAATCAGAGGTAGGTATAAAATTGGTACCATACAGAATAAATGATTTGGATTCGTGTCAAAAAAATGTTTCAATAATTTCGGCACCCATTAAACTAAAAATTCTAATTCATTAATCATATATTTTTTTAAACATTTATTAAGATAAAAATATGTGTACTAACACAATCTGTAAAAAAAAAGTTTAGAATTATTATAATATTTGAATTGAGAATAAAAGAAGCGTTGTAGGAAAGTAAAACAAGTCACTCAGCAGTAGTGGCACCTTTTGGAACGAGATGGGTTTTTTTGGGGGGGTTTGTGTGGATATCCATTAATTTTTCAATAAATAGATTTCTGCTTTGTATATTATTTGGTCGAATCTCGGCCATAAGTTAAAAAAAAAAAATTTAAACATATACTAATGCACACAACATGATGCTTAGTCCAAATGAATATTATATAAGTTTGCCCTCACTATTAAAGGAATGATAAACAAATTAAATAATAAGACAATTTAAATGTTTGACGGACGACGGTATAATAATCATCCAATAATCTTGGCTATAATAATACACAACTAATATGTTAATAAAAATAAAATAATAATAATTATTATTATTATTATTGAGTATAAAAATAATGAATAAATAGACCTATGGTTGCAGTCACAATGTACCACTGTAAAATATAATAATAATAATAATAATAATAATAAGTTATAAGAAAGTAATATTATTTAACGATTTTAATGAAAACTGTGGTTTTGTATTTTTGCAGATATTTTTTAAGTCTGGAGAAAAACGTATACGAGCAAAAGCTTTTTTAATTTTCAAGTTTTTTTTACCAAAACAACATTGTTATCATCATCGAATAAAAACTATTATTTTCTTATATCTATTAAATGCTAATACGAATATTTGGTGAAAATGTCAAGTCTCAACGGTAATTTTTTTTTTTTGTTGAACATCAAGAAAATAAAATTGATTTCGTCTGGAACTGATTTTGCGTAGAAATTCTCTTTCTTCCATAATTGTATTTTTGCAGTTTTCCTGTTGGTTTTGAAAGTTAGGTAGGTAAGTACCGAGAAATATTTCATTTTTTACCTCCCAAAGCAGGCCCTATTATTTGTAAAATTTCGGACTGCACATTTCATTTTATTCTCGCTACCATCTTAGCAAAAGGAATGTATTACATAATACATATCACATATATATATATATATATATTATATACCATATGTATATAATAATTTAACAATGCAA